ACAGGTTCCAGCGATTCAGCTCTTTCCCATACCGTTTTTATATTTTATCCTAGACATTGCTGATCCGGTTTTTCTGGGTTGAGTCGGGTGTTATTGGTTTTATGTGCCTCGAGGCCAAGGCCTAAAGTATCAGATGCAATCTGGATATCGCTCCTATCTGTCAGTACAGAACACTGTCAGCCGAATTCATGATAGGACCATTCTCTAGGCTACGTTTTTCTTTCCTAGGCTTGGGAATAACTGTAGGGAGAACTTCAACATTTGCCAAAAACTTCTAATTGCAACTTTGGCACATTAGATCATTGCGTCGGCCCGATATTGGATCGATGATGTAATTACAATATTGGGAGACCAATATTTAGCCTATATTGGCAATATTGCCCAAGATGTAGCCAACGTACCCAATGTCGGTCCAGCATTGAGCCAAAATTCAGTTCTACTTCTCTCAATTGTAATCTTTGCTGACCAGTTTCAGCGCGGGATTTGAACCGCGTTGTGATTTCACTCATCACTCAAACGGCTCCTCTCCCACTCTAAATGTGCTCGTCCGGCAAGATTTTCGGTGAACCTCTCTTTTTATCAAACCCGTACCTACAATCCCTAAAGAGGAGCCAGCCTTCACGATCGAAAGAACATTGTGCCATTCATCCTACCCCCATCGAGTCCAGCCTCAATTTGAACCACGCTTCCTTCATTATTGACAAGAGTCTCCTTGGACCTGTTTAAACAGATGAATTGAAGAATTTGAAGTTCTACGTTGTCTGTGGGAAAAGATCAAGTCCCGCATCAAAAGTACCGGGGTCTTATAACGAGGGTCTTATCACTCCCTGGTACCACTGAAATAGCAGCAACGTAGACACCATCTCGTATCATTTGTGGGAAGCTTTTTTGTTCAAATAACTGAGATAGATGTCTCGACCAGAGATAGGACAAATGTTGACTGTTCCTAGCGCCGATGAGGGGCATACATAGTCAGCCATCTGCGATGTTGTGATGCTCCTCCACTTTCAGCCAACGTAGTCCAACGTTCTTTGCTGCCTGGGACGGTGAAAGAGGATTCCTTTCACACGGGATTAAAAAGCGGAGGGTGGCATCCCTATGAAGTGATTCGCACTCTGAACACAATTTTCTCTTCGTCTGACGACGACCGTCTGAGTTTGTAGGACACTGGTTTATTGATGTCAAACGGATGCCTATAGCTCTTACTGCTTGCCCTTGCCTAAGAGGACCATGAGGAAAGCCGAGAAACGTATAAGTAGAATGCAAGAGGACATGTGTACCCTCGAAATGAGAATAGCAGATTTTACCTCTTGCTTGGCGGAATTTTCTCCCGCCTATATTTTTCTTCCTTTCTCATCCACTAACTATAGGCCTCGCCTATAGTTAGTTTCCGTATATTGGGCTTCAAGTTCACTTTTTGGACTGATTCCACCCACCAATGCAGAGAGGCCCCTCGTGAAGTCAGCATTCCGTTACAAGAACACCTCAAAATCAGCATTATGGCGCCAGAGAAAGTTATTTTTGAGAGACGTGTTTGGGAGTGTCCGCAGATTGGGTTGAAAGCTGGGTCAATGAGATCTGGTGCAGCGACAGATAAACGTCTGACTTGCAGGGACCCGAAGGGTCCCAGATCAGTTTCTATAACAGCAGTGAGGCCTCAGGAGGAGGATGAAGGAGCCAAGAAAGCTCTTCTCATGTGAATGTCATCAGCTCCACTATCTCCCTGTGACATTTCCCCACATGCTAGCTGGGACTGAATATGACCTGCGATCGGTTTCAACAGACACCTATCTCTATCTGTTTCCCATCTTTACTATTGCTATGACGATATCTGTTGACCTCAGGGACTCATTTATAAATAAAATGGCTTAAATTAAGCAAAGTGGGTTGTGTCCACATTCAGAGAAACGTACTTGAAACTCCGGGGCAACAAGGTCGCCAATTAGAGCTAATTACAGGCCTACAGGAGTATTGTGACCGATTTCATCTGGCATGTCTATGAATATTTGAAGATGAGGATTGCGTACGACTCTGCCCGCGGAATGGGCCGAGTCCAAAGGAAGCGCCTCGCCTTGCATTACTACGTGGAACATGAAGCCGTTCCTGACCTGTCAGGTGTGTCTTTGGACACACCATCTCTTCCTTCCTTCAGCCGCTTCAAATCGGTGACTATCTCAAGACACGATAACACTTTTCCTTTTTCACAATCTTCGTTCACCCTTACGCATGAGCTTAAAAGTTGACTGCAAGATGCCCAACAGTATGTTTCATTCCTAACGAATTTATACTTTTGAAGATAGAAACTGTATGTTTGAGGGTCTTATTCTTCTTGTTCTGCTCACACCGTGAGAGTAACTGCATGTTATTGTACACTCTTTAATTTGCTTCACACACTAATTTCATGTTTCAAAAGAGCGGTTGAAACATAATCTGAATTACTCTCTCCGGTTGTAGGCTTTAATTGAGGCAATTTTCAAGATCGCCCACCGCATAGTCTGTTTAGGTTCTTGGTACCTACAGCTCACCCTAAAGCAAAAACTTTCATACTGATTTCAGCGGATACATTTCCGACGAACTCGCCTTACTTGAGTGCGCTAAATCAAGTTACAAGCTTCCAATGGTGGCAGAACTGAAAACTACTTGAATTTAAACAAGCACGTCTCGACAAATGAGGTGTGCATAGACCTGTCCAAGGACGAGTCTATGCACACATTTGCCGAGACAATTCTCCTTGGATTTATAAAGTGCAGCGGACGAAACGAAAACCTCAAGTGCTTTCATGAAGAAATAATCGTTGCAGAAGTTCAAACTGAAGATATTTAATTGGTCCACTTCTGAGAAGTCATGAAGCGATGGAAATCTCTCATCTTCACGGTTTATCTTTATAAGTCACAATTCCTGAGTTTCACTGATTATCATGAAAACTATTAGGTTGAGGCATAATTTCTGACCCTCTTAGGCAAAGCAACCTTTTTATTTATTTTCAACAAATAACAAACAATCTCAATCAATGAAATATTGACCATTGTGTTCAATGACCTTCGCCCAGCGCTCGGGCAGTTGGTCGATGCCTCGCTCGTAGAACTCGGCTGGCTTAGACTCGAAGAACGTGGCCAGGTCTTGACGAAGGTTGTCGTAGTTTTTGTGGCAGCTGTCGGCGAGGTGGTGTTGCAGAGACCGGAACAGGTGGTAATCCGATGGCGCTATGTCTGGAGAGTACGGTGGATGAGGCAGCTTTTCCCATCCGAGCTCCTTGATCTTTTCCTTAGTCGCCTTCGCGACATGTGGTCAAGCGTTGTCTTGCTGTAGAATGACGTTGATCAGTGTTGGACGTTTCCTGCGCAATTCTTCGCAAAGGCATTGAAGCTGGTTGGTGTAGAGGTCCGCCGTGATTGCCTGGTTCTTTTGGAGCAGCTCAAAATGGATCACACCGTGCCAGTCCTACCAAATGCATATGAGGTGGCGCTTCGGGTGCAGCTCAGCTTTCGGCATCAAAGCGACTGCCTGGTCCGCGTCCAACCACTGTCATTTGCGAGTGACGTTGTCGTAGCTGACCCACTTCTCATCCCCCGTAATGATCCGGCCCAAAACCGACTCGCTGTTTTGGCGCGACAGGAGTGAAGCACAAATCGTCAGCCGTAGAGCCTTGTTTTCTTCGCTGAGTTCGTGGGGTACCCAAATGCTTTGTTTACGCACCTTGCCGAGGTCGTGGAGATGTCTGATGACGGTTTTTTCGTCGCATCCGAGCTCCTGTCCAAGTTGACGTGAAGATTGGCCCGGGTCTTCATCGAGCAGCTGCTGCAGATCTTCGTTATTCAGCTCAGCGGGTAGTCCAGAGCGGGGTTTTTTTATCAATGTCGTCGCTCCCAGAGGCGAATTTCTTGAACCATCGCTAGCATGTAGAAAGGCTTGGAGCAGTTTCACCGTACGTTTCCAGCAGTTCTCGGTACGCAGCTGTCGCTGTCAGCTTGCCGTGGTACGCGTAAAGTAAAAGGGCGCGGAAGTAAATATTTTTGTCAATCATTTTGCTGAAAAATGGAGCGATACAATAAACGGTTTGTGGCAAAATGAGGTATCAAAATACTCGGCTGAGAACCGAGCAACCAAGCACAAAACGCAATAGCTGCCAGAATTTTACATCAGAAAATGGCAGTCAAATTTCTAAGCATAGGTCATAGAGGGTCAGAACTTATGCCTCAACCTAATACATCATTCACAGCGGGTTTTATGATGCGCCAAACAGGACGCGTTTTTTTGGGCAACCTGGTATAATATGCGTGGACCTCTGTGTACGTCCCCATCCAAGTGAGCATGTGCGACTCTATCTGCCTGGCTGCCTGACTCCGGGTGTCCGTCTCGCCATCTTGAGTTCACACTTTGTTTCAGAACGTTGTTGCTGTCGGATTCATTCTCGAAAACAGGAGAGGCATTGTACGTCTTGCGCACACCGCCTCCCCCTCCCCTTCATAGGGGGTGTTCACACTTCCATGCGAATTTTTCCGCGGGGATGAGTAAAACGTACCGCGCATTACACTTGGAGTCCTCTTTCGTCTCGCTGCAGGAAAGATGACTTCCTCGCTAGGTTGAGGTCTCCGTCCCTATATTTATCGAGATCCTGGTCCTTTTATCAATCGGAACCCCTTCCTCGTATTGATCGACACTCTCACAAGGAGAGTGACTCCGAGGGTGAAAGCGGCAGGACCCCATCTAGATGGAATAGATCAAAAGTGCTGAGAAAAGGACGCCATCAGCCGCGTCGTAACTATCCCGTTTCTCTATCTGTATTTCTCACTCAGGCCGTCGTAGATGTGTCGTAGATGAAAACGCCCGTGGGCAGGGGGGGGGGGGGATGGTTGGGTTTTGCGCAAGGCTTGCAATGTCCGAGCCGCTGCTACGTAGAGCGCTGAGAGGGCCACTATCTAAATTTGTCAATTCTCGAAAATGCTACACGCTTACCATAGGCCGACCCGAAGTTCGTGGAAGTCTTCCACCCAAGCAGCATGTTTACGTAAACGTGAAGTCATTTTTTTTGCAAACAATGTAAATTTCTTGCGATTGCCATGAAAATGACATCATGTTTACGTGAAATTTACGTTCCTATATTTACGTCACCAAAGTGTCCGTGTATTTTACGCAAACTTGACGTCACTCCTTCTGCCGTGAAGTACATGATATCAAGTTTATGCAAAGTTAACATCACACTTTCCATATAAAACTTCAGCTGACCATCCCGCAGATGCAATACCAAGATTCCTCACTAGATGGAACCCTTGTTCCCTGCACCCTACAAATGCTATGAAGTACTGGCTTTCCCGATATAGTATCAGGTTTTCTTTTCATCCTTTCACTTTTTATTATGCAATCCATGAATATATATATGTAAAACAGGAAATTATTACATATTTATATTAATATATGACTCAGGGAATCATTAAATTCTGAAGGTATGCTTGTTATTATAGATACAACAGTGCACGGGATTGGGGAAGAGTAGAATCCCAACTCCACAAGTACTATAACTTCTCTATCCTAAATGGAAAAGAACTCCGCTAAATATGTATTTCCTCCTCCCGAAGTCCTGCTACGGGAGAAGGAACTAGTGAGACATCTTGGTACTTTTGAGTGCTGGTGCTGATGAGTACTTGTGTACTCATCCAAATAACCTTGAGTACTGAAGTATGGAATGGAATGGGAGAAATACCATTATCAATTCTATTCAAAAGTACGAATTAGCTCGTTAAATACGCATGAATATTATGGGGAAATCAACATCAATTTTACGTAAAATGGATTTTAAAATGCTGTTGGGGATGTAAACGGGAATGTCAATTTTACGTAAAATTTACGTAAAATTTATATCACCGTTTACTTATTCCAGAGGTGACATTTCTGCAAACATGTTGACATTATCTTGATGATGGTTTGCGTAAAATAGATATAAAATGGACAAAAAAATTAAAATTCAGTTTACGTAAAATTAACATAAACATACTGCTTGAGCACGGGTCGGCTAATTCTGCCTTAATGTGTTTAACCTATCTTCTGTTACATTCCCTCAGGAATACTTCCGCAGTCAAGGTTGACGAAGGAAACGTGCTGGCCTGAGAAGAGTATCCACACGACCCTTCCACGATATTGCTGGAATGTTGCCATCGTAGATTCCAGAGGGAGCGTCATATGCAGTGGTGCACTTATCGAACGGCAACTTATCTCGACTGTAGCATCCTGCTCTTCCGACATGTATTAATGACATCCTTTGGTACTCTTATGGATGATATGAGCAAATATAATCAATTTCTCAATAGTTAATGGGAGGATGCTTGGATGTATTTCTTTGTCCTGGAATTCTTTGTCACTTTAAGAGGGACTGTCGCCAACAAAACTATTTCATAATGTTCTGGGGGAAAATTAAAATAAGGAGTTAAAGAGATGCGTAACCCACGGTTGAACATTCTAATTGCATATTGAGGAAAATGTAAAAGTAGCTAAGAGTCAGGTTTCTTCCTTTTATCACATACTTAGATTATTAATATCTGAATCTGAATCTTAAAATAATTTTATATCAAAAACAAGAATACAGCATGATGCTGAATCCATTTCTTTTGGACATTAATATACAGCGTGTCTCAAAAAATATATACACACTTTAGTAATAAGTATTTGTTAAGAATTCAGAGAGATACATTGTTCAGTGTGTGGAGATGCAAGGGTTTGAATTGCATGGTTCACTACCTCATATGTTCAAATTGTTCACCGTTAGCATCCAGGCACTGTTGACAGCAGCGAGCAACAGTGCAACAAACTAATGGACAGGTTTCTGCTGGAATAGCAGCACAGGACTCATCAATTTCATGCGATAGTGTGAATGCTTCAATTGCAACAGCAGCATTTTCCCCACCTGTTGATGGTGTTGATGTGTGAGGTCTATCAGAACATTCTTTCTGCATTACCGTACTAACAATGTTCTGGGAGACAATGCACTGTACAATCAGCATCAAAATTATCATGAATCCTTGAAAGTTCTAGTACATCAGGGTGGCCTAGTTGCAAGTTCATTTCTCCACCTTCTTTGCACTGCACATGTGTTCTCAGATTACCTGAATCATTTCAAAATCAACTTGCATTACTCTAAGTTCAATTAAGCTTGTGTCATCTTGTGACATTGTCTCTGTCACTGAAAAAATTGCCTGATGACACGCGATCATTCCATTACACATTGTCATTTGTTAGGTACTGTACTCACATTAAACATAGTCCTTCTATGAATTATATAATATATACACTTGCTTCAAGTGTGTATACATTTTTTGAGACCCTTGTAGATTGGTATGTGACAAATATACCCAACGTACTGAGTAATAGTAATGAGTGTAACGGGAAGATATTTAACTTCTGCAACGGAACAAGGAGAAACAAAACATACCATTTCATGGAGAAGAGACGTTCCGGTGAAGAAATGAACATATAAATATATATTCTTGAAATGTAACTTACGTTTAAATGCAAATATTACTTTGAAAACTATCTAGATCCGATGCCACATGGTTTTTCTTTTTTAATTAAAAACAAAGATTATAAGCTTTAATACTCCTAGGAATGATTATTCGATCATATGAAAACAAGTAATAATAGTTGCTAGCAGGTCAGGAACTATCACGAATGGGAGAATAAGTTTATTTATGAAATAGGAAATTCGTAAATTGCACATTTCGACTAACACTCAACTAGATGGGCGCTCAAAATCGAATGCATAGTTGAATCGATCCGATAATATTCACGGTTGGCAATCCACCAAAGTCTGTAAGCTCTTAAGGAGAGTGTGTGTTTAGCCTCTTCTAGCTTACGATAGGGATTTTCGATTTTTCTTTTCACAGTGAAGAGGGAAATGTAGAGTCCCTTTCGGTTCAAGTATTCGGGAGTTCTGCTCGTTATCTAATCAGAAAACGGGTTCAACATCCCGAATATCGAGAAGAAACTCTTGCTAATGACTTAGAGATGATCATTCTGGAGATGCCAGTGGAACTGAATACAGGGGCGTGCATTCTTTGTACCCAGGATTCCCAGGGACTTCAGGACTTCTCTCAGTGCAAACTCATCAGTCACATGAAAGGTAGCGGCTTCTGGAAAAAGAACTTGGTTATTTTCATTCTTTAACATTGACCATATGACGGCGGTGTTTTTCTTTCAATGGAGATTGGATATTCCCTACATCCGATCCGGTAACCTATTCCGCAAGGATTGCTGATCCGAGGGTTTGCAGGGAGAAAATCACCAAGGAGAGTCCCCTTCCACTGAATTCCCTCTGCGTCACCTTCTCCTCCGTCTGGTGTGGGGAACCAGGTGCCCCTCTCATCTGTCAAGACCATACAGGGTTTTACAGGGTAGGTCTTCTTTCGGCAGCTTACATCCATGCATAGCATGGTCATTTTTGCTCGGTTGAATTTTTTCCCATGATCTTCATTTGCAGTTGGTTGGTCATTTGTCCATCCCAACTGGGATATGTCAAAGTGAAACCGAGGCCGGGATCTTTTCCAATGCAGCCTCTCAATCATCTGGGATTTTCCAGGACACTTTTTTCTCATACTTTCCAGCTTCAAGTACTATCCTTCCTCATCCCAACCCTCAAAAAGGTCAGCTGGTAGTAGAGTGAAGTGTATGCTATGATCGAACGATTTACTTGGATTCTCTCGCTATTTTTAATATTCTTCTGTGCCCAGGTTATAGAAAACCAGACTACCCTGATTCTGGGCGAATCTTGACAGCTATGGAGCTAACTTTATCTTGCTGAGTTTCTTTGCTTGCACTACTATTATTGCTGTTGGGGAAAGGCACACACATGGAAAGAAAGCACTTGTGTTTCTCATATGGGGGTTAAAAAAAATAATAATGAACAAATGAAATGTTTTACCTTTTTCCCTGCAGATTGAAAATCGTGAATTTTGTCACTGTCTGTTGGTCTTCCGTGATGAATCCTTTCAGTCTCTATCGTGTATTGCATTCGCCATATCCGATGGATGCCCACCTTTCACAAAATCACTTGTGCGCTACACGAACTAGAATTAGGATTACTTTCGCTACATGGAAATGACTACCAAGAAACAGCTAGCAGCGAATGTGTTAAACTCAACAATGATGGGGAAATCTCAAATAAGTCTCATATTACAGGGTAGTGCAAAAGTTTCCGTATACTTAGAAAATCTAATGAAAATCAGTATTTCATTAATCAACGGATGTTTTTTTTATTTCTATGGACATTTTTGTTACGGAATGTTTTCATTATATTGTATCTTAGTCTTCATTTGATTTTTTTCTCTGGAGCTCTGACGCCTATAAGAGAATCGAGGCGGTATTCAAAGTGTACGGAACTTTTGCATAACCCTGTACACATAATTGAAAGTTTTGCAATTATATGTAACCAGAATTATACAGCAATGGAATGGCTTTAGTTGAAGCTATTGCACGCTTAAAAGTTGGTAAACGGTTCCTGACATGAAAATGTTCACGTCTATGTGGTCTTTCAGTTCTCCTTCAAACTTATTATGGCGATATGTCGCTAATAGTAGATCCAATGTAGGCGATTCTTTTTCCACGGGGTTGTTGGATTCATTGCTATCATTGATCATTTTCATCGCGAAATTGAAGATGGCAAGTGCAATGCTTGGTTGAGTTCGTATAGAAATACCCTAAGGGAGGAAAGCAGAACAATGATGTAACGTGTGGCCCGAAGTATTTCTATTATATGCTTGCATTAAGCAATAAAATATCAATATTCAACACATTAATGGATTCCCAAACTCAACAATTTAGTCGTTATCTTTAACGCCTGCATGCATGTACATTTCAGAAGATTCAGACTTGAGAATGGAGATGTGTTCCTTCGAAGTGTAATATGGCTGTAACCAAGTGTAATGTGGCTGTTGCATTTGTCAAATGACAGTGTTCATGCCGATGATAAATTTAAATATATAATATCTTTCAACTTATGAACAACGACATTTGACATACGAGAGGCGGTCTAAAAGTATTTATTGCTGATTTGGACCGACCACTTCGTTTTGCGTTAAGAGCTGTGAACGATGTTTTAAATGTGTGCAGCAGTTTGGATACATTTTGGTGGGATGGCTACGAAATGTCTGGATGACGACGGTGGAACACATCTGCAGCCTCTCTGGTTATCTCATGGTTTTCACTGCAAAGCAACAGGAGCTCAACTCGTTGTTCTGTAGGCATGTTAGGGATGCAGTGAGCTCGTGCAAAGACAAAAGAAAAAATGCTGTTCAGGGGCAGCATTTGAGCATCTCCGCTTATTCACATTTGGCAACTGATTTATGGGCAACCTTGTACAAATACAAAATCAGTCAAGTATATGGAATCAATGACAAATGTTGAAGGTGCTCTATGTGGCCGTCGTTCCTTAAGATTCATAGTTTCAACCGGCGTAATGGCTGGTCCTTCTTCAGTGCCATGTCACTGCCCACAGAAATAAATAAAAAAAATCATTAGGAGTAACAGATAGATATGATAATAATCAACTAAACTATTGATTCCAGACATTTCTCTCATCTAATATACGTATCTAATATACGAGGGTAAGTCAGAAAGTAAGGTTCCCTATTTAATTTCTTCGGAGTGCAGGTAATTACACCGAAAACAATATACAGGAAATGTCGCCACATACGTTTATTGTTTTTCCACGTAGTCACCAGACTTGTTGAGACATTTGTCGCAACGGTCGATCAGCTTATAAAAGCCCTGCCGATGAAACGACGCATCCTGCTCCTGAAGCCACTTTGTGACTTCCTCTTTGACGGCGTCATTCGATGGAAAGCGTCGTCTTCGGAGATGCTTCTTCAGCTTCCCAAACAAGTGAAAATCCGACGGCACCAGGTCTGGACTGTATGGTGGGTGATGAATAGTTTCCCATCGCCAGGTGCTGAGAAGGTCCATCGTGGAACAAGCAGTGTGCGGGCGGGCATTATCGTGCAATAGAAGCACTCCCTGTGACAGCAGTCCTGGCCGCTTTTGTCGAACCGCTTGTTTCAGTCCTGTCTACGTTAACTAATATGCTGCAGCATTCACAGTCTCACCATGTGGAGTGAAATCGATGAGAATGATCCCGTGAACGTCCCAAAAGATGGTTGCCATCACCTTTCCAGCACTTGACGTTGTCTTGAACATCTTTCTGATAAGGGAACTGGGGCGCTTCCATGTCATTGATTCCATCTTTGTCTCTGGAGTATAGTGGTGCACCCACGTCTCATCGCCGGTTGATGCGACACAAAAAGTCGTCGCCATCTTCCGCATACCGCAGAAGGATTTCGAGCGACGCTGTCATGCGTTCCTGCTTGTGGCCGTCGAAAAATTGTTTCGGCACCCATCTGTTGTAGACTTTCCGATAGCCTAGACGGTCGGGCACAATGTGCCAGACACAGCCGTGTTAAAGTTTGAAAGACTGCTCCAAGTTCTGAAAAGACAAAGTCTGTTTGTTCGAACTGCTGTATCGATCTGATCGACAACATCGGATGATGTCGATGGGCGTCCACTCTTCTCATCCACTACAGTCACACGACCATTTTCGAACTCATGGCACCATTTCCTCATATGTTGCTCTGACAGGACAACCGTGCCGTACACAACCACAAGCTGTCGGTACATTTCCACTGGTTGGGTCTTTTGTGCCCACAGAAACCGAATTATTGCTCGGATTTCCAGCTTCGTACACACAGAAAATTCAGTGCCTCAGTTCGATGCATTTTTCTCGCGAAAAAATCTGTTTTGCATGCGATGCGTCTTTATCGCATCGAATTTTGGATGCGGTTATCACATCAAATACTGGATGCGATAAAACCGCATCACATGGAGGACAACTTTTTTCTCGACGAAAATGCATTAATTTGATTCTGCGTGTTTAGGTCAGGTGCATTATACGCTTCTGCCGCATTGAACATTTCGTGATGAACTTCAGCCACATCGAAATTTGCCTTGCATGTCATATTGTGGGAATATATATGACTTTTGAGCTTAAAGCCCGAATACACGAACCTCATTTAAGGGAGACAACGGGGTTTTTAGCGAAGGAGCTCTTTTTCTCCCATAGGAATTCATGTATTCTTAAAGGACTGTTAAATATATATAGTTAACAGTCGGATCTCATATCGGCGATACGTGTTGCACCACCAACACACCAAACAAAATACAAACACCGTATGAAACTGGACTCGAATAATGAAGTAAGCGGTTACATGGGAATCCCTTCGAGACGCACGAGCTACTCGCACGGGTCGGAGGGAAGGTGAAGTGGCGAAGAGGCCATGCACTCAGGCGGTTGCGTGTGAATCCCTCGACTGTCAATGCATTGCCCCGAGGGTTCATGGAGGGAGGGAGGGGGGGGGGGCTTCCTCTTCACGATGAAGTGGAATATGGAGGTTAACATGTGTTTAGACGATGCGCAGCCACTCAAAACACCCTGCTGACTCGGCTATAGACGCATTTTGGTTTTGCAAACGCCTTTCAGGCGACCCAGCACGGTCGGGAAGTGAGAGATATAAATCGAGAATCCAGTTGATGTCTTTTCCCTTGAGAAAAATAAATTGAAACGCGAAAATTGAGAGAAGTATTTCATCTCGATTTACCGATTTCTCTGAGTGTATACACGTGCAGTACCTTCGCCATGTTCGCTTCGACTCTGCGCCTACCGCGAGGGTTTGTAACAGTGGTGGCTGCTGCCACTTAGTGACGCTATTTGGTACTAACATGCGGGGGTGTCACAGGACCAGATGTTTGTTAAAAATGGGAAAAAAAATGGGAACCTTACTTTCTCTCTTCCTTACTTTACTCGTGAGTGACTGAGTGACCTACGCTAATTCTAGCGAATATTCTAGAAAAGCTGGAAATCTAAAATTTGGCACACAAGTAGCTATTGTGATACAGAGCGTAGAAAAAATCCGACTTTGGAGGTACATTCCCCGGGGCACCCATTTTGGGGGGAGATGTTTTCAAATATATATATTTGCTACAGTCAAACGGAGAGACATTGAAAGCTGAAACTTCACGTGAATGTGCCTACTGAGACACTGAGTTCAAGAAAAAAAAGTCAAATTTCAGATGCATCTTCTAGATACATATTTGTTAGGGGCGAGGTATTCAAATAATTTTTTTGTCATAGCAATTGGGGAAAAGTAGAAATGTGAAACTGGGCACATGCATAACTGACATCACCATGAGTTAGGGGAAAATTCAGCTTTTGTGGTGCATCTCCTCAGGGCATCGCTTTTTGGTGAGTCGGCTTTTCAAAAGATATTTTTGCACCAGCGAAAAGAACGAATGTATTATTTCGAAGCGTGATGGGCATGAAGTTCTCCAAGTACTGATTGCAGTAAAAATGTTACTTTCTAAGTTAAACCTCTCAAGGGCACATTTTTTGTAAGATGCACATTTTCCCGAATCTTTTTTGATCCAACAAAACGGAGAGCGATAGAAATTTAAAAATTGGCGCAGAAGTACCTTTTGGATTGCTGAGTAAAGAATTGTTGCTCCTTTTGAAATATGTCTCCTCGGAGAAAATTATAGGAGGGAAGTCTTTCAAGATACATTTTTCGTTCTGACAAAGGAAAAGCAATTAAGAGATCGGAAATAAGCATACAAGGAATTATCGGAGAAATGATTTCACTAACAATCTCGATTACGTCTCTTAATGGCACGTATTTCGACAGGGACGTACTTTTAAGTTTTTGCCACTTCGAAAAACGTAATTATTGAAAGCTGAAATTTGGTCACAAATGCTTCTCTCGATAATATAATTATTGTTTTTAATGAAGGGGTTCATCCCGAAGGACTTTTTCTTCATGGTATTTTTTGCCTAATACATGTTCGCTAGAAGAAACTTAAAGGGGAAGAACATGTAAATGATATTTGATAATGTTACATTTATTGGGATATACAGTGAGGGGCACACTGTGACGATGTTGGACACAATTACTTCCACTTGATGATTCATAACTCGAGTATAGCGAAATCAATTTAATTCAAATTTGGGCCAATCATGCTCCTACTTCCTGGCTTTCGATTGGAACTAGTCTCATGTGAACTGGCCTAATCTTGATCGAGCTATAGCTGTAAAAAGCCAACCTGGTCATTTTCACAGTTTTGTCCGTCGCACTCAGGCATACAAAAAAGCAGATTTTTATATAACTTTATTTATTTATCCTTGGCATTCAGCACTTCTAGGCATGCTCTGGATCAAGTCAAAGTATGTTTCAACTGGAATGACACCCCACTTGGAATGACGGCAATATGGCCCCAGATGGAATGACGACCATAGCGAGTTTGTTTGCCCTTCGGGCAAACAAACACGCTATGGTCACGCCTACGGCGCTCCATTACCTTGGATGGTGATTAATTCATTTATTCTTTGCGAAATGGCAAACACATATTTAAAGCATGTCCTTATTGAAATACGTGACATATGGGGTCGAAAGTCTTGATTTTCATCAAAATCATTATTTCTTTGATTTCTAGAGTGCCTAACTTGAAATCTTTTCATGTGTCCATTTTTGTAAGGGTGGAGAATACATTTTGAAATACTTCCCTCCAATAATCTACAATAATGGGGCATATTTCAAAAGTAGGATATCTTCTGTACTCAGATATCAAATTGGTACTTCTGAGGGAATTTTAAATTTTCTGTCTCTGTTTCATTGGATAAAAAAAGAATTCAAGAAAATAGGACCATAAAAAAGTTCCCAGATGAGTTTTAACGAATTTTTTTCCCTTCCGAAATGTAGAATCAGGGAAATCCATAGCACCCACTTTTTGTCTAATACGTTTCCCCTTTTTACAGGCGACAAAAAATATATTTGGAAAAGCGACCCATCCCAAAACTGTGCTCTGAGACGCACAGTAAAAATTTAATTTTTCCTCATATCAACATCACCTCCGTTATGCGTGCGACAGCTGCTACTTATGTATTGATGCCCGATTCGTTATGATATTGTTAAAATTCTTTAAAAACATAATGTCCCCAAGAAATATCCTCCCAAAGTTCCAATTTATGGGAAATTTGACATTTTTCCCGGGTCAGCAGTCATGTTCTTGCCAGTTTTCAGCTTCCCATGTGTCTCCGTTCGATTGAAGCAAAGGGAACTATTTGAAAATATGTTCCTCGAAAAAGTGTGCCACTATGGCATGTATCACCAAAATATAATTTTTCCTGATCTCAACATGCGAATAGTGACTTATGTCAGTCAGATATGGTAAAACGGGTGGTTTTGGCGCACACTCCTTGTATTTTGTACTTTCGCATCCTACGACGATTTTATCCTCGTTCAGAGACTTGAACAAAAGACCTCATTTTGTAGGGTGTGAAATTGGTTATCAATCCATAGCAAATT